AAAAAAAAAAATTAAACTAGAAAAATTAAACCAAAATACTTACAGTATTATTTTTCCAGAAAAATGATCAAGTCCAGCGTTACACACTATTTCCTTAAGACAAATTCGTCCTCTCTACGGTGCTTTCAGAATATGGACGTCTCTCTCTCAGGATAAAATGATTGGCAACAATCAGTAGCAGCACTACACACTAATTGTTCAACGAATACACTCATTGTATATACTCTCTCTTACAAAGGAAATGCAAAAAAATCAAGAGAAAAAGAAGAATGAAAATTGAATGGAATGAACAAATGGAAGACTGCATATTTATAGAAGAATTTGTGGCTGTTCAGGACAAGATTAACAGACATGGCACCAGTTCGGGTTGGGGGAAAAGCTGGAAAGGTGTGTTGGACCAAATTGCCAATGTTCAGAAACATTGGGGTCATTTTGGAATTTATTTTGAATTTCAAATAGAAATTTAAATTCCAAAACAGTAAGAAATAAATTTAGAAAAAATAAAATTCAAATGTTTTTCGCCCCAAAAGATAAGCACTGGGCTAGATCACAAGAATTCATAATGAAACACTATAGTATAATGTGGCAAGTGCAACTCATGTCATCATGTACAACAATTAAGCACCTACCAATCTTGGAAATCAAGCCACACTTTTCTCTATATGAATCCAATTGAGAACAACCTTTACTTTTTAAAGACAACCCCTACATTCGCTGGCTACTATATGGCGGGAAGTGGGCACCCTAAGAAAATCATCCGTTTTTTTACTTTCGCCGGCTACTATACGGTGGGACTGTGTGGACACCCAAAAATGTTTTCTCACATTCGTCCAGCGATAAGCCTAGACAGGGCAATTGGGCACCTTTTTAACTCCCCACGCGGGTACCAACACAACACCACACTCATTCACCATCTACTCACACTTGGACTCATGCACATGCAACAATTATATCACATCTCAATCCCACAAACAAACGTTAAACATTACCACATATAAACATCACATAAAACTCAGGGAACAACAACATTCAAGCCACTGTTTCCTAAACTACATCAATACCCACATTTTATTTCTCCATTATCCATCAATTTCCATGAATCAAGAGAAAATTCCATTATCTTGAGTATTTTCTATCCAATTGGGAACTTAGGGTTTCCCTAAATTTGGGGGTTTCTACTCCTTGTCACCAACCTAATTTTTAACCATATCTACATATATATTAGGGACAGAGATTTAGGGATTTCAAACAAAATATTAAGTAAATGAGTAATTATGTGAAATGTGGGTTTAGTTCAACAAAATCTTCAATTAGTTCCCAATCACACACAATACCATGAAATTTCTTCAAGAATGAAGAGATACAAGGGTAAAAGTATCACTACCTCAACTATCAAGTCAAAATTCGAGCTCCTTCACAAAACTATAGCAAACTTTCAATCCAATCGGAAGATAATGCCAATCTTCAAATGTTCTTCACCCCTAGCCAACGAATTTGAGTGCATTTCAATGGTATGGAAGGTATTTGATGATGGAGATCTAGGGTTTCATGGGAGGAGGAAGAGGAGATGAAGATAGAACCAAAGAAAAATAAGAGAATGATCTAGAATCACCTAGTTTAAAAAGCTGCTATCACGTTCCCCGCTCGAGTGTGACTTTCTATGCTCGAGCGTCCAGACACCGTCAAGAAGGCCCGTTTGAGCGACAACTTCTCTGCTCAAGTGGAGAAAGAGGAACCTCAGAAGTTTTGCAGCGCTACAGTGGAATTTCTAGAAGCTAACATTGCACACTCGAGTGGGACATTGCACGCTTGAGCGGACACGCCTGCAAAGCAACAAGATACTGGGAGCGACAATTCTACGCTCGAGCGGCGGTTTCCCTGCTTGAGCGGCCTTGAAAGCAAAATGTCACAGGTGTACTATGGTCGGCCTAGGTGTACATGATAGGGTGAGCGTGAATCGATTGCAGCCATGGAACCTCCAATCCGCCATTCGTTCGCCAGATTGGCGGATTGGAAAAAATCAATTCGCATCTGTTCTCCAATCTAGCGGATTTGGATTGAGTAGATTGGCAGATTGACAGATGGATGTGAATCGATTTGGCGGTTTAAAATTTTATAAATTTTCAACATAATTCAACTTGTGCACTTCTTCAAAAAAAAAAAAATTCAATGACTTAAAAAAGTATTACAATCACTGCATGTTTCATCTAAAGAAAGAAAATTTGAAACTTTAGAATATTACAATCACTGCATGCCCCATCCACATATTACAATTACATCATGCCTCATCTACATAAAGTATTACAATATGTGGTTCTTAAAATATAAAAATAATTCAAACCAACAAAACCATGAACAAAGCAATAGTAGAGATTGTATGACTCTATAATGTTACGTCTATATCTATTTTTGAAAACAAAAACCATATATCATTTTTTTATTTATTATTTTTAGAGTCAGATTTAAAAACCAAAAAATATAGATAAATAATACATTTATTTTTTTCAATTCAAAAAATATATTCAAGTTGAAAACTCTTTTTCAACAGAATATTGAAACTCTTTTTCAATTGAAAACACAAACAGAATATCTAAACAAATTGAAAACACAAAGTCTTACAAATTATTAGAGGAGCTCGCGGTTTGGCGGGTTCAATTGCGGCCAAATGAACCTTAAATCTGCCATCTATTCAAAACTAGGCGGATTGAAAAAAATTAATCCACAACTGTCTGCTCGTCATAACACATTCGTCCAAAATGCGGTGGATCGGTTTGGTTCGATCGGTTTGGGCGGATCAGTATATCCATTGTTGACCCCTAGTGCATGCAAAGTAGACTGAGGTGCAAGCAATCCTGCAAGATAGGCCAAGTTGAGATACAATGCTTGGCCTAGGTGTGGAAACTAGACAAAAGTGAGTCTCGATAACCACGCTTAGGAAAGTGAAGTTTGGAAATATGAGTTTCCTCCTGAAGAATATAAATAACATGAACATGAAGAATATGAATGCTAAAAATCATAATTTCTTATTCGAAATCTGAGATTTCATTATATGAGTTCAAAAACATGGAATTAGGTACCCATACTTGAAGATTTTATGAAAACAAATACAAAAACATGGAACTTAATACAAACTTTTAGTCCAAAACAAAGCTTTTCTTTAAGAACACAAGAACATTACTCTCTCTCTCTCTAAACAAAACTTTAAATCAATACATGGCTCATAAGTCATGTTAGATCATGTAATGTGATCAGATTAACATAAAGAATAACAAAAGTAGATCAATAATCTAACCTCAAAACACAAATCTAATGGTTTAAGGTTTGCAAATCAAACTTAAAAATCTAATTCTCTCACTCTAAGAACTTTTTCTTCTTCATCCTCTTCCTCAAGCTTCTCTCTCTTCAAGACAAAGATATGGCAAAGATATGAGTTCTCAACTACTAATCTGATTTAAACCCACTACTAAGACACATGGCATCATTTGATCAATCTCCTCAAAAAGGTGCCAGAATGAAAAGACAATAATAGGTCAAAGAGTAAGTGGCATGGACATTATGACAATGCAAGGATCCTAAAACAAAATATAAGCTTCAAACAAGTGAAGGATAAGTAAGGTCTTTCTGATCTCGCCTAGGAGGAGTAACATGTGACCTAGGTGTGATACACCTCAGCTTGGGTTGTACAAGTCAATGAACAAGATTGCTATGCATTAGCTAAAGTGCACAAGACTACAAGGTTCAAGGATCAAAGATCTCAGATGCCTAGGTGATGCTCATCTCGGCCTACATGACGCGCATCCCGGTCTAGATGATGCACACCTCAGCCAAGGTACAAGGGTGAACGTAAAAGTCAACCAAAATGGTTCCAAAATGATCCTAGGTGTTAACGCTCAACAGCCTGAGCGTAAGAGGTTCAAAGGTGTGACTTAAGTATGAGGAAGCAAAGATAGATGGCTTAGGTTCAACGCACAAAGGAACAAAGCATGGATCTTATACTTACACAAAACAAAATAGCACAAAACAAGATATGCTCCCGTACTAAGACAACATTAAAGTTCACAAGATGAAAGCTTAACAAACCAAAATCATATAAATTCTCATAAATATGACTAAAGCAAAATGAGAATTGTTATAACATCAATACAAGATTATCTAATAAAACAATCCAAATAAGAACTCATATTTCGTTTATAAATCAATTCCCCAACTAGTTACAATACAAATATAAATAAAAATACTCACATCTCAAAATGATGTCATTTTGATTCAACTGTTCGATAAGGACATTAAGATCATCATAGTAGAGAAAATCACAACACAATTCCAATTTGAGATGGCGTGGCCTTCTTTACTACGAAATTTAACTCATTTCGTTTTTTAAAATTGTACAAACTGCTGGGCATAATTACAAATCTAAAGAGAGAATACATATGGATATTCATAATCTGCTCAAAAGATCTTTCACCGTTGCCTTTCTACTTCAGGACTCACTTGCATTGAGAAAACATGCACAATGGCTGGTAATAGAATTTGCAACTAATCCCACCAATTTGTTTTGTCCATCTTCATGCAGGAGCTATATGAGAGAATTTGCCATTTGCCGTCTCCCTTTAGAAACGAACACAAAATGAAAATTTGCAGCAGAAAGAACCACAATTTTCGAATATTTTTGTACCCATGGGTATTTACAGACTCGTATGTCATTCATTACTCGAGCTCTCTGATTATGTCATTGCTCTGCAAATGTTTCAAAATTAGTAAATTAACCTATGAAGCTAATGAAGCAAACTGGCAGAGACAACTTCTGAGGAAAGTGCAGATGCGTAAAGTGAGTGAATTGTGGAAAGACAAATATATACATCTCACATGATGGGGTTACACTGATTCCTAAACAAAGTCAAACCTCCATACATCATATATGATATCCTGAGAGAAATCTCTGATTCAAATAAATGTAAGAAGTAATAAATCTCTTCCCCCCTTCTTACTTAAAAAAAAAAAAAAAACTAAATAGCTCCACAAATCATCAAGGCCAAAACCAACCCAACCACCCCCAACTAAAGTTAAAAAACGACGCCCAATTAGTACACATTAATGTGTGTTTGGGAGGGGAAAGATTGAGTATACACCTAACCTTTAGTATAATGCACAACGTGGTGGTCCCAAGACTTGAATCCATAACCTTAAGGTTATTAGGCCAAGTCCTAACCATTGAACCAATGGTCAATGGTTAACTAAAGTAAATCAAATATAAAACAAAAAATAAAACACCATTCACAAAACTAAAGAAATGAATTTTAGCTAATAACATCACTCACATAACAAAACAAAAGAAAAGAAGGCTAAATACTCTTACCTATCAATCAACTCCATTCCAATGTTTCTAGCGTTCTTCAAAAACTGGAAGCATTTTGCAAGGTCATTATTATCAGCCAATGCAAAGTTTAGGTTGTTAAAGAATTCCCTGTAAGCGTCAGTCAGTATCCCTCCTGCATGGGAACAATCAAGGGGTTTCAAGATGTCCTCTTGTGCTTCTTCATTCACTGCCAATCTTTCTTTTAGCAACTTCTGCACCAGCCTACTTTTCTCTCGTTTGCCTACTGCTGCTTCCAACTTTGCAGCCATGACCGTAGCTCGGTGAATGCATGAGGTAGGTAGCTGCAGATGAATCAAATATAGAGCATAAATTACATGAAGTAGGCGACCCTTAGATTTGAAAAGCTACTTCAACTTTGGTCTGGCCCCATTTTACTTCTAGTAGCAGAGACTCAGATGCTTGGGAATTAGCTTGCCAAGGAGTTCTATTTATTTGTTTGCAAGAACAAAGTTTCAGGTCTCCATGGGTGTGGGTGTGGGTGTGGGTGTGGGTGTGGGTGTGCACATGTGTGTGTGTGTGTGTCTGTGAGAGAGAGAGAGAGAGAGATGGTAATTTACCTGGGCAAGCCGAGCAACCTTAAAACCAAAACTCCTCTCTGAAACACCAGGAACAAGCTTATAAAGGTAAGTAACATCCTGATGATCCATTGTCTCAACATTCTGATCACTCAACTCCATCATATCCTCATTCTGTGATGTCAGATATGAAACATGGTATGCCCCCACAGAGCCTGGGAATTCATTCTTTATGTCGACAATTTTAGGGTAATGGGTGACAAAGAGGACCATGCATCTTTTCTGCTCAAGAAGATGATGCAATGTAGCATAAGCAATTGCTACCCCGTCATGTGTACTTGTGCCTCGCCCAAGCTCATCAATGATAACCAGTGATCGGGGTGTGGAATTCTGGATTATGTTAGATGCCTCACTCAGTTCTTCCAAAAAGGTGCTCCGTCCTTGCTGGATACTGTCGGAAGCACCCATTCGTGTGTGGATGCCATCAAGCACATGCAGTTTTGCTAAAGACGCTGGGACAAAGGAACCAACCTAGACGGATCAGAGGGCACATTTTTATAAAACTACAACCGTGAGATTCAGTTTTTATTTTTACTGGCCAAAGGAAAATATATATGGTTTTCTTTGTAATCAAGGGGAAGGACACAGTTCATGCCCTAATAAAACATGGACCATAACATAACATGTAATATTGATGAGAGCACTGAATATTAAAATCTACCTGAGCCATTATGGCAATGAGAGCAACTTGGCGAATATAGCAACTCTTTCCTCCCATGTTTGGTCCTGTCACTATCTGACAGTACTCGCCTTCTGCATGCAGATTTGTGTCATTTGGGACAAAATTATCTTGTAACATAGTCTCCATAACCTGGTAAAAAATGATTTTGGGAGAATCATGCTGGTCAGAACTAACAAGCACTGTATAGTGTATACATTGAATGAAAAAGTCTATTTCGCTAATTTCAATTTGACAAAATCAATAAATTGAAATAATTATAAGAGTGATCCCCTTAGCAAGACAAAAGTGTCTCAATTTAGTTGGCTACATTTTGACAAAAAAACAAAATTGTTTCTAACTTCTAACATAAATGAATTTATCTGGTTCCAGCGAAAAGGTCAGATCAGAATACCTACCTATACTCCAGATAATGGTCAGAAGATGCCAACTTGCTTGGCCAAGACTGTTTTATGAGAAAACAAGATATATTTGTGCATGCACGTATTCAAGAGAGAGAGAGATGGAGATTTTTTTTTTTTGGAACAATGGTAACAGGTTACAAAAGAGTGGTAGCGGCTGATCCAAAACAAAAATAAATAAATAAGAAAGATTGGTAGCCTTCCCCTTGAGCATACACCCCCCACCCCCCACATCCTGGATGAAGTTAGAATCTATCCCCCCAAGTCTCTGGTATGGTTACTAAGTGACTTTACCAGCTAGGCAAACCGGCACCCTTTAAAATGTAAATGTTTTTTACATGCCACACATTACTTCATAGGCTTGGATGACCTGCATCAACTAGCACAATAGGATACCTGATGGAGGCAAGTGGCAGCAGCCTCTGAAGTGTACAAGAGACGCGAAAGCAATGCCTCTAAGGCCCAAGCTTTGATTTGGCATGCATTGGATGATGAGCAACTCACTTATGACCTTGGATGGTTATGTTTTAGCCTTATGGGTGATGCATAGTATAAGAAGTTCAAGGAAGGCTAAATTTAAAGAAGCGATGATATTTGGACATTGGCATGATTTTATAGAGAAACTGATAGAAATATCCCATACTTATGTTTCTAGTATTATTAGTCTTATTTTAAAATTATATTTATGTTTTTTAAGATTTTAAGCTTAAGGGTATTTTGGTAATTTGCAGAATTTCTAAATATGGGTTGCGTGGGCCGCCCAGGAGTTGTCATATGGGTCAAGTTATTTAGCCCTCGTTTGGTTTTCTCATTAGAGCTAAAAAAGCACAAAAAAACAAAATAAGCTATATAAGTCAATAAGACAAAATACTACTTTTTACCTATAATCATTACACTTTTTCTCTCACAAAAGTCAAAAAAGTCCAAAAAAAAAAAAAACAAACGAGGCTAAAAAAGCCAAGCTAAAATAATCCCAACACAAAAAAAGTTGATTAGTATTTATTTATATTTCTTATTTGACCTTAAATTAGTTTTAAAAGTCAAAGATATTATAATAGTTTTCTTTTTTGGATATAGTTAGTTTAGGAAATCTCCTAATTCTATATAAAGTCATGTAACGCTTCTAATTCAATAGAGTTAATATTTTATTAAAAAAAAAAATAGAGATCTTTGAAGCTTCTTTATAGATTGTGTGATGCAATCAAATCCTAGGTGTGATGTCTATGGAATCTAGGTGCAATGCCTAAACCTATCTTCTTCTCTTCTTTGTTCTTCTTTTCTATTTCAATTTACTATTCTCGGATTACTATTCACAACCCTCTGAAAGTGCGCTTTTCATCCTCAAAACTCCATCCAATCACCCCTCAAATCAATCCTAATCCCTTCCCCTACCCAATAATCTTCAATTTTTTATTTTTTTTTGAGCAACAAAATTTTTTTATTAAAAATGTGAAAGAGGACAAGGAGTCCTCATACAAAGAGAGAAAGAAAAAGAACGAAACAAAAACATAAAATTCATAGCCCTAGGGAAGGCAAACAGCAACCCAATCCCTAGATATCAAGAACAAGGGAACTCCTTTAAAAGGAGAGGATACAAATGCCCAAAATGACGCCAAATAATTCACCCTATCCCACAAAGCCTCTACACTTGATTCTTTGCCATCAAAGATTCTAGCATTTCTCTCCAACCATATGGCCCAAAAAATAGCAAAAACATTGCATGTCCATATTGTTTTGGCTCTCTTGGTTCTCCCAAATCCTATAAACCGAATAAGAAGCATTTGAATACAGTCCCGCGGAACAACCCACTGCTCATCACATAAGCCGAACAGCCGCTGCCATAATACACGAGCCATCGGGAAATGAAGAAATAGATGATCTGTTTCCTCCAAGTTCCTCTTGCACATCACACACCATTGAGGACAAAGAGAGTGATTAGGCCTTCTCCTTTGAAAAACATCATTAGTTGTTACATCCTTTAGAGTCAAAGATCACATGAAAAATTTCACTTTATGAGGGACATCCACTTTCCAAATTTTCTTATGAGAAGGAAACAAGGGAATAGAGGGATTATCAATGAGCTTATCAAAAAAGGATTTACATGAAAAGACACCTGAAGAGCCCAAATTCCACACCCTAATATCACAAGATGAAGAAAGAGAGACCCCCTCAAGCACTACTAACAAAGATGCCAGCTCCCCCGCCTCCCTATCATTCAAGTTTCTAATGAAATCAAAATTTCAAGAGATGGGTGCCATAGAAGAGCAAGCCACCGACGCTATCGAAATATTCGAAGAACGAACTAACCAGTAAAGAAGGGGAAAAGATCTATCAAACGAGATATCCCCTAACCAAATATCCTCCCAAAAGCAAATGTCCACCCCATTCCCCACTCTCAACGAAAAGTAGTTAGACACAAGGGGATACAAACGAGAAATGGATTTCCATAGTGAACGAGAAATGGATACAATAATCTTCAATTTTAACCCTTAAAACCCTAAATTACTCATTGTTTAAGCCATCAAATAGCCTCTATTTTCATCCTAACAGCATCGTCCTGCATCAATGGGCCTTGCTGGTCAAGTTTCTAGTTTAGGGGTATTTTGGTAATTTCAAAATTTCAGTACTAGGCTATACAGGTTGGCCATGGGTCATATTGCAGGTCAAGTTATTTAATTGGTGTTTGTTTATGTTTTTTACTTGGTCTTAGATAGGTTTTGAAAGTCAAGAGTTTTAATAGTTTTCTTTTTTTGGTTTTAGCTGGTTTAGGAAGTCTCTAGTTCCATATAAAGTCATATAATACTTCATATTTAATAGAGTTAATTTTTTAGAGAATTTTTAGAGCTTTTGAAACTTCTTTATGGATTGTGTGATGAAATCAAACCCTAGGTGTGATGCCTAAGGCCTCTACCAGTGACTCCTAAAACTATCTTCTTCTTTTCCTTTCTTTCTTTCTTTCTTAAATTTCAGCATTTTTACAACCACAAAACAGCACCTAACAAAGCTATCCTACATCAATTTGGTATCAGAGCGAGATTTCAAACATGGCTACATGACGAGATGCTTTTAAAAATTTTGGAGCAACTTGATAGTTGTAATCTTTGTATCAGTGCTTTGGAAGGCCAAGCAACTCAAGCTAATGGGCACTGCAACCACCGGAGAACAAAGATAACTTCGGAATTAATAATCATGGTGAGAATGGCGAGAATCAAGGTGAGCAAGAAGCAGACCAGTGTGCAAATCCTGTGCAAAGACAAAAGAGGAACAAGAAGATTGGTGACGAACATCAATCTTTCAAATGCTGGTCCATTGTGGAAATCAAACAAAGAAACTTGTTATTGATGGCAGAAGTTGCATGAATGTTGTCTCTGCATCTACAATTGAACAACTTAACCTTCCAGTTGAGCCACATCCCCATCCTTACAAGGTAGCTTGGATTGATAACACTTCTATTCTGGTAACTCAGCAATTGCCTTGTTTCTTTGCTTCGCCTAATTATAGTGATTCTATTGTATGTGATGTAATTCCTATGAACGTCACTCACATCCTTCTTGGTCAACCATGGCTTCACGATCGCGTTGTGCAACACAATGGAAGAGAAAATACATACACTTTCTCACTTGCAAAGAAGACAATTGTCTTACAACCTATGATTATGGCACAGATGAAAAGATATGAATCTCCAAAGCTAAAAGGCGTTGAAAGTCGTACCAAACCTCTCCACATGCTCTCTAAAAAGCAATTTGTAGTGGAAAGCAAAAAATCGAAGCTTATCTATGCTGTAGGTTTAAAGCAGTGAAGTAACCAGCTGCTGGTCCTGAGACAAAAAGGCCTTTAGAGGTTGAAAAGTAGCTGTATGAATTTTCTGACATAGCACCAAAAGAGCTGCCTAGCGAGCTTCCTCCCATGCGTAATGTCCAATACGCAATAGATCTTATGTCCAGGTCTCAATTGCCTAATCTTCCAACTTATCGGATGAATCCTAGTGAACATGCTGAGCTAAAAAGGCAAGTAGATGAGCTGTTGTCCAAAGGATTTATTTGCAAAAGTTTGAGTCCTTGTATTGTTCCTGCCGTGCTCACACCAAAGAAGGATGGCACATGGCGCATGTGTGTTGATAGTCGAGCTATCAACAAAATAACCAATCAAATATCGGTTTCCAATTCCTCGACTTGATGATATGTTGGACATGATAGCTGGTTCAACTATTTTTTCCAAAGACAGACTTGAAGAGTGGTTACCATCAAATATGCAAAAGGCACGGAGATGAGTGGAAGATTGCCTTCAAGACAAAGGATTGTCTCTATGGGCATGTTCAATTATCTCACTATAAGTGGGATTGAAAGTGGAGGAAACATGTGGGGTCCACCAGATTGTTAGTCTGTGATTGCGGGATAAGGTGAAAGGGATTGGAGGTGGGGAACATTTGTGTACCACTGGATAGTTCAATCCAGTGTTTGTTTTGCATGGTACTAGATTTCGGATAATTTTAGTACTGGTATGGAGGATTAAATAGAGGAAAATGGAGGGATTAAATAATACATAGGTAGTGTGGTATTAGAAGAATGAGGCCTCTCAAGATTAATCTTTTTTTCTTCATCCAACAGTCAAAAATAATTATATATTTTTATTTTATTCTAATCAAATATAATACCTCACTCTTTCTATCCAATCATTTATCCCATCTATTATCCCACGGTATGAGTTATCCCTCACAATCCTATCCATAATCCTATCATATATCCAATCCTTTATCGCATCTAATACCATGCTATAACGTATCTCTCACAATCCTATTAATAATCCTGTTGTATCTAATCCCATCAAAAATAATCCAGCAATCAAATGTGACCTATGAGTTTATGCCATTTGGTCTTTCCAATGCTCCTAGCACATTCTTGCGTTTTATGACTCATGTACTTAAATCTTTTGCTGGTCACTTCCTTGTGGTCTATTTTGATGATATATTAATCTATAGCAAGACCAAAGAACACATCTTCCATCTCCAATAGGTTATAAGAGCTCTTTGCCAAGAGAAACTATATGAAAAATTGAAGAAATGTTCCTTCATGAGTCCAAGCATTGTGCTTTTGGGCTTTGTTATCTCTTCCAAGGGTGGAGCGGCTGATCCGAACAAAGTTAGAGCAATCATAGAGTGGCCGATTCCTACCACCTTGCAAGAAGTTCAAAGTTTTCATGGATTGGCAACATTCTAATGGCACCAATTACTAATTGCATGAAGAAAGGAGAATTTGTTTGGACCAGGGCAGCAACTAAAGCATTCGAAGAGATAAAGAAAAAAATGATTGAAGCTCTACTTTTATGCCTTCCGGAGTTCTCTAAGGTGTTTGAAGTGACTTGTGACGCCTCACATGTGGGAATAGGAGGTATACCCAGGCCACCCAATTGCTTATTTTAGTGAGAAACTTAATGAAGCATGACAAAAGTACTCTACTTATGACAATGAATTCTATGCTGTGATTCAAGCACTCCGTTACTGGCATTACTATCTTATATCCAAGGAGTTTGTGTTGTATTTTGATCATGAATCTCTCAAGTACATCAACTCCCAAAAGAAGTTGAATCATCAACATGGAAAGTGGGTCTCTTTCTTGCAAGAATACACATTCGTCATCAAACATAAGGCTGGAACAGAAAATAAGGCAGCTAATGCACTCAGCCTTGTGGTGCTAACTCTCAACTCTACGTCCATCCAAGTTGTGGGCTTTGATTCGCTAAAGAAAGACTACTCGTCTTGCAAGGATTTCAGCATAATCTACACTGACTTAGAGGCTGGATAGCATGCTGAATATCCAGAATTCTTCTTATATGATGGGTATCTTTTTAAACAAACTCATCTTTGCTTGCCTAGTACATCTCTACGCAAAGAGGTGATTTGAAAATTGCATTCTGGAGGAGCGGGAGGTCATTTTGGCAAAGACAAGATGATTACAATGGTTGAAGAATGTTATTATTGGCCAAGTCTTAAGCGAGATGTCGCCAGAGCGGTTTCTCAAGGTCGTGCCTGTCAACTTTGTAAAGGATGAAAGAAAAATACTGGTTTATACATTCCATTACCAGTAGCACATGACCCATGGCAAGACCTAAGTATGGACTTCATCCTAGGGTTGCCATGAACTCTTAGGGGATGACTCGATTTTTGTGGTGGTGGATTGCTACTCAAAAATGGCTCACTTTGTCCCTTGTTCAAAGACTTCCAGTGCTATCCATATTGCTAAAATATCCTTCAAAGAAGTCCGATTTCATGGTTTGCCAAAAACAATTGTCTCGGACCGTGATGTGAACTTTATGAGTTATTTTTGGTGTACTTTGTGGAAGATGTTGCATACAAAGCTGAAATTTTCTTCTTCTTTCCATCCCCAAACCGAAGGTCAAACAGAGGTTGTTAATTGAAGTTTAGGTGACCTTCGTTGCCTTGTAGGTGATCATGTTGATAGTTGGGATCAAGTTCTTTCTATGGCTGAATTTGCATATAACAGTTCAGTTAATTGGATCACCAGTTGCAGCCCCTTTGAGACGGTAACAGGTTTACTTCCTCAAAAACCAATTGATTTGGTTCCTTTACATGGTTATGGTCCGTATCAAACCTAAGCGATATCCTAAGGGTGCATACAAGAAGCTCCATTCAAGAAGTTTTGGTCCATACAAAATTCACAAAAAAAATAGTTCTAATGCCTATGTACTTGATTTGCCGGACAACGTAGGCATAAGTAATGTCTTCAACATTGAAGATCTTACATACACCGAGGTCACGATGATGATGAGCCTAATGATGGTTCTACTTGACTTCCACCAGCCCCACGTTTGAAGGAAGAGATTGAAGACATTATTGATCATAAACTTGTTTCAACTAAAGGTGGTGGTGATCAAAAGTACCTCATTAAATGGAAGGGCATCCACTTTTTTATTTTTATTTTTGAAAAATAAACGAACTTTATTGAAAAAGCATCAATATGATGCAAAGAATACAAAACACTCAATCTCAAGAAGACATTACAAAGCCTAATCAATGACGCTATCTAAAAAGTCTAAAAAAAGGAACAAATCTGGATCCACTCTTTTCTCCAACCAACTATACAAAGTAACTATCAATCGATTCTTAAGCCACGACATCGAATGTGAAGTCTCTTGAAAAGTACAACGATTCCTCTCCAACCAAACTAACCACATCAAACAAAAAGGCACCAACAATGATGAGGAGTTCTACAGCCTAGACCATGATTTGTATGAACGATTCCATGCTTTTAACTCACCAGGGTTGAGCCGGGGAGAGATGATGGAGGCAGGTGGCAGCAGCCTCCTAAGGTGTACAAGAGACGCAGAAGAAATGCCTCGAAGACCCAAGCTTTGATTTGGCATGCATTGGATGACAAGCGACTCACTTGGAACCTTGGATAGCAATAGTTTAGCCTTATGGGTTTTGTTGGTCAAATTTCTAGTTTAGGGTATTTTGTGGGTCAAGTTATTTAATTAATTTTTGTTCGTTTCTTATTTTGTTTTAAATGGGTTTTGGAAGTCAAGGTTTTAGTATTTTCCTTTTTGGTTCTAGTTGGTTTAGGAAGTTTTCTAGTTATAAATAAAGTCATGTAACAGCATCTCCAAGGGGCTGTTTAAATGAGACCTGTTAGCTATTATAGCTAGCATTATCATATTTTTGCTAATATAATAGTTATTTTAACAAAATTCTTCAAGGCTAGTTATATTTGAAGAGCCTTGGGAGGCTCTTTAAACAGTTTGTGTGTATAAATAGGTAAAATAAAGAGTAATGTTGGAGTACATAGATAAAAAAGAAATATACTATTTATTGACTTTGTCAACCTAAGTTCTAAACAACGCTGTATAAACAGCGCTGTCCTGCATCACTACCTCTGGCTTCAAGATTCATAGTTTATATATTATATATTGACTTTGTCAACCTAAGTTCTAACATGATAAGCATTCTATTGAAATAATTGAAATAGCCCTATTAGTCCAATTGATGAAATTGCAGAAGACAGTTGCATGTATACACTTTTGGGACATCAATTGAATTGAATCTAGTGAAAATAAATAAATAAAACATAAATAGACAAGAAATTTAGCACTTGTGGAATGGGGCTGTCAAATGAAAAGTGGTATTTTATAACTCATCATTTGACACCATAATTGACTTCATAAGGGAAAACTATCTAAGCAAAGAGTCCTATCTGCTCCCAAATGTCAAAGGAGATGGCTTCTTAGTTTTTATTGTATAAGTGGGGTGTATTGCCTTAAGCATCGATATAGTTAGGTACTTAAGCTCTTAAATTTTTATCTGAATAAAACAAGTAATTGGCATCCTGATAAAGATCTTATTTTAACACATAACATGTGATTTAATGAGCAGCGAACAAACATACCGGATGACGACCAGTAGATATATGTATCTGAACAGGATCAGTATCATAAACAAAAACTGGACGGATATAATTCTGCAACAGAGAAGTTAAGGGGATAGTTTAACATCAAATGTTGCAAGATGAACAGTTTAAATCCATGAAATCCTCCAAAAAATAAACCTCATTTCTTGAAAGAACAGCAAGAGAATGTAGACAATCCAAAGTAGCTAGTGCCTGAACAACAGATTGGAACTCTGCGTAAAATTTACCAAAGTCCTTAAGAAAACCATCCCAAGAAGTTCTGCAGACAACAGCAAGCTCCTCAGTTGCCAGTGATAACTGATCCAGAGCAGTCAATACTTCCGGAGGGTGATAGCGAATTGTTTTCTTAGTGCTATTTACTTTGACCCAGTTTGACGGTACCCTTACATCTGATGGCACCTGCAATTAAAGCTACACATCATTAGGGCTACGCATAAAGCGGTACATAGAAACAACACATCGTCATGATATCAATAACAACCTTAATAGAGCAACCAAAACTCAGGGCGTACTGCATAGCATTTATGTGTAGGATAGCAATACATACACATCTTAAATCCATAATCAAATGATAAATATAACTACATAATGTCACTTTATTAGAGTTGATATCAAAGCAGGTATATTCTTAAAACTATTTGATAACTAATTGGGGAATGAAAACTGATTGGGGGTGGGAAACCTATCTAGTCACTCTCTAAGTAAAAGCACACTACTAAGTGTATCTACTTAAATTCATAATCCCAACCCCAACAAACAAGCCAACAAAAAATTGTGTTTCATATTATGCCACTGCAAAACCAGTTCACACTACGCAACTAGAAAACAACCTAGAAATCTAGAACAGTTGATTCAGAAGATATTCACACATCAATATGATTAAAAACAATAGAAACTCAAACATTCATTATTTTCAATGATCTCCCATCATATTAAGAACTAAAGAAACAAGAAATCACCAAAATAAAACTAAACTTTGCGAGCCATACAAAAAAGAGTGGAATATCAAGCTGAATAAATTTCAAAACTTTCAACAGGAAAAATTTTGGGCTGAGCCAATTCCAACTGAAACACCTCTATCAAATGTGTTATTCCAGACACGCTCAAGAACTCCAATTTTTGCATTCCAAGCTGTTTGCGATACAAACCAATCATTGAATCCAATTTATCCTTTGCCAATTGAACTGCTAACCGGGCTTCAGCAACCTGCACAAGAATTATTCTACAATGATTAGGGGAAACAAGTGAAGGCAACATGCAGTAGAAATCAAAAGCAAATTCAAAACATGAAGCTTCTCATGGGAAACCTCTGGGAATTGCCCGCTGGAAATGTTGAATAAGTTTAGAAGATCCCCTTGATCAGCAGCTTCTTTATTTAAGGTGGACAAAAGTTTTGCCGCATTGCCAATCACGCTGGATGATGAAGCTGTCAAAATCAACCTTCTCAACAAGACAGAGCGCACAGTCTTTCTTGGCTCACCTTTGACCTCTTCTTCGATCTGAAGTTGCTGAAGCTGTTTTCCAGCAACTAAGAGAGCTTGAATAATTGCCACAAACTGTACCATCAATTCATGAAGACCATAACCAAGCACTGTCAAGGGCATGGTAAATTGATGACAACAATGAAGAGTAGTTCTCCTGCTAAGAAATGTGTTTGCTTAAATGAATTCAGACTACCAATGTTGTTTCCATTTTGATTCCAGTTGGTTTAGATTAAAAAAATAAAAAAAAATGAAAAAAAGAAAAAGAAAAAGAAAAAAGGAGAAGAAGAACAAATAAATAGCTGGTTCAGACACAACTAGTTATTTCTGCCATAACATCATACCATCACTCAAATACAACTAATTATTTCAGTCAACCATCATGCCTTCCAACAATACATACAACCAGATCAACCCGAGGCCAGCCCAAAAATTTCTAGGGCTTGGGTAACATATTTTTGAATTCGGTGTGAGCTTGGGCATAAATTCAAAAGCCCCAATGAAATTTGGGCGGGCTTGGGTAGAGATATCAAACAACCTGAGTAACCCGGAGTCTGAATTGTATATATAAATATATAAAAATATTAAATATACATGTAAATTATTAGGGGTTAAATTAAGTTAAAATAATTGATATCGTTAGATCATATTCACTATATACATTATATACACAAGTAACACAACACAAAACCTTACCCTTTCTTTTTTCTTACTAAGTAATTGAAAAAAACACCGCAATTGCATATCGATTCTTCAATTCTTTATATCTCTCCTCTCCATCTCTCTCACATTATATAAATTAATCATTTTGATGTTATTAAAAATTTATCAAAAATGTTGATAAGAGTCTATTTTAACAAATTAATCAACCTAACCACACACCCAAAAAAAAACTCCAATTTTTGGGCAATTCAAGTAATTCGGGTCAAACTTGGTTAGACAACCTCGGGTTGTATGTTAGCCTTGGGCGGGACTGGGCAACTCTTAGCAATCAGACTGGGCTTGGACCCTCTCAAACCTGCCCAAGTTGCACCCCTAATATTAAGAGCACAAAAATATGTTGCACAAAGTCCACCAGTAACATTCTGTTGATCAATAGATGTTTAAGCTCTAAACATACAAAATGTTCAAACTTTATACATTGAAAACTCATACTTCATAATAACACACAAGTTTAAAAGAATAAATTTAAGATGCAGTGAAGGTTAAAATAACCCAACACGTTGGACATCCATACAGACACACAAAAGCAAGCATCGGGATAAGCCATTCTACCTCAGACGCAGTGGTTGTTTGATGGAAGATTCTAGTTATTCCACGCTGAATATCAGGTGACCTTCCTAGAGTAATTAAAACTGAAGAAAGCAAATAACTAAAATCAGGTTGCGCAAATGCGACATTGTAACCACCCACATCAATGCTGCTCAAATTCTGTGAAGCTTTACAAGACCCCATGGACTCTGCAATCTCAGAAACAGCATCAAGACGAGCAATGATCATGTTTCGATCACTTAAAGGATGAGTCACCTGTACCATGCAGAAAAAGTCAAACTCAAATATCATGAAATATGTAAACACAACCATCAGCACAAAGAAATAAGAATCAAGTGCAACCCCATACCCAGTGCCTAAGAAGCCTCGAACCAAATATAGTAAGTGTATGATTCATACAGTGCAGCAAGGAGCCAGACTCGAATCCATCAGAGTTATTCTTCAAAACCTAAAAACATTTCACTAGTTAAACCCATAATTTAGAGTGAAAAAGCAAAAGTGAAGAAAGTCTAAATTAGGAAAAATAACAATTTCAAAGTTTGAAATGAAGCTAAAAATTTTATGATCTCTTTCACCGAGTGATTGCAAACTGATTCTACAAAAATATGTTAAAATACAAAGAAAGTTCCTAATATTTTAAACTGGTTAAGAACGATGTCAAGTTTCTCCCATCTTGCTAAGCGCTATATCATGTGTTCCAAGGCCTGACAAAGAATGAGACATGCACGAAGCTGCAAAAGGGATAGATAAACAGGGGGAATGGGATCCAGTAGTATTGGCCAATAATGCCTCAAATCATTGATAAAAAGTAAAACAAATTTCAAACACCATTAGGAATCTTAATGTTTTCTATCTACATATTAATAGTGCAGTGGCCATGTCAATTACCTCTAGCTGTTGAAGTGCATTGGCAGACAAAGTCATCTCCTTATTCCCTGAGAATGGCCGAAATGAAGCTCCCAAGCATAAAATTCTTTCAAATCCAAATTGTTTTAGATGACGAATGAGTAACACTAATGCTTGGACAGCTAAATCTGGCATGGCCATAACTGCCTTTAAAACCAAAAATTATCAGCACAATAAATAATAAATTATCGGCATTTAGATGGCAAACAGCAGCCTCCATAAAGCAGAAATAATAACTAAGTGGCATCTTTTCAGGAAAGTGAAAGCAAGAGAAAAATACAGCCATTCATTGACCACTATGAATCTACATAATTAGGCATGTAGGATATTATTCAGCCATTGTAATATAAGCACAGAAGGTTATGCTTTTGTTTTTTAACAAGCATTGCCACTTAAACAATCAATGGTTGGCCATAGTTTGTGCATAGAGAAATACACAAAGAGATAGTTTACCTCAATTGCCAGGCGGTTATTTCCCTGTTCTGCCACCACTGTTTGTTCCCCTTGGTGACTCGCTAAGCAATTTTCACTCATGTTCTCGTATAAAGTCATCACTTCATTAAGTGCCCCACCCTCACTGAAGCAATCTTGGGAGGCACGCTCCACACGAACATTTGAGGCATGTCCAGCATATGCCAATAGCAACTGCAATGAAAGCTCTCAATCTTATCAGCCAACTAGGATAGATGATTAACAAGATAAGACCTAGTCATTCTGTAAAATGCATACAAAACAAATCATTTTGTAAAATGAAAACAAGACAATTCCTTTTCATGTTTAGTTTAAAAGACACTTAAAAACTGATCTTTCATACAATAACAATAACCATGACTCATAATGACAAAAAAGGAAACTTCTGCAATTGAAAGATGAAAACTAAAAATGAGATAAATGTACATTGTAGTCTTTGATAAAGTTCCTTAAATTGGTGAGCGAGCACTATCCTTGAGTTTCCTCAAAGCAAGAAGGTAACTGTCCTTAGTAATTCAATTGCAGGTATTGCGCTCTCTCTCTCTCTCTCTCTCAACAGTAAAGAAATTACATTTTGTTTATACAAAGAAGACTCAATTATTTAAATGATACAGGGCATAGTTCCCTACATAAAAACAATAAATGATGGGATTCAATACAAGGAGGAAGCATTACGTACATAACAACCCAAAAAGATTAAAAAAAAAAAGTATATCTCTTTGGCGTGGTTAATGAAATTCATTGCAAGTAAAAGCTACCTTCTCTGTTTGTTTAGAGAGAGGCTCCTCAATGAGTAACTCAGCAGGGGATAAGCTCAGAATGACAGCTTCAAGGCTAGCCCTCATAAAATTATCATTGAACTCACCATAAACAATATCCCCAGTAGAAATCTCAACAGCAACAATCCCGATTCTCACATCTAACCCCGTCTGAATCCCACATTCCGCATTTTCAACAACCACCCCCTTCTCAACAACACAAATCATATAATTGTTACATGAACCACATCCCTCTTCACCACCTCCAACATCCTCTGATGCCTCCAATGTAGCCTTTGTGTATAATGCCGATAACCCGCGACAAAATGGTCCTAACCGGTTCGACCCATGTGCCTTAATTGCAGCGGTTTCAGTTTGTTTTACAACACCCACCTTATACCCAGCACTGACAAGCCTCCTCACATGAACATTCAATCGAAAAGTTGGCACACTGGCCGTCAAGAAATTATGATCAACATGGGCATAAATCCCCAAAACCCTAGCCGCATTTTCGGCATCTACTCCGAAAAACCGATACTTGTAACCAACTTCAACCATCAAAAGAACATCAGGGTACTCAGCTTTAAGGTGAACAACTTGTTGCTCAAGGGGAGTATACTTGGGATTTGAAAGTGGAGGTTGTGGAGAAGGCTGGAGAAGGTCATGAGAAGGTTCCAGAAGTTTCTTGAGGAAGCGTTGGTGGAGTGAGGGATTGGGAAGAGGAGGTATAGGGTTGTGGGTATGAGGAGATAGTTTTCACAGGTCAAGTATTACTTTTCGTATGAAACAAAGTGCTACACGGAACTAAGTGCTACGATGGGGTTTGGGCTGGTTGGGGGAGGTGAGTTGGGAGTTTCGGCGGCGTTTGGAAGGTGAGAAAGTGACAGTAGCAGAGACTTTAGGGGGAGGGGTTGGTGGGTTAGGGTGCAAAGATTCTGATGGTGGTGGTGGTGGTGGTGGTGGTGGTGAGGGTGAAGAAGTAGAAGTAGAAGCTGAAGGGGTTTGGGTTTGGGTTTGGGTTTGGGGTTGGGGTTTGGGGGCGAAGAAGCGGGAAATGACCTGTTGCTTCTGCTTTCCCATGGCGGTGGTGGTGGTGGTGGTGGTGGTGGATCTGCACTGCTGCTGCGGCAGGACTCTGCTACGCTTGGTTCTTTTGGGATGTTTTGGCGCGCTCGCTGTCTTCTCCAATTGCAATGAGGATCTCTAACAGCCTCTCCAAAGTTTCATCATCATTTATTTTTTTTTATTTTTTTTTTTTTTGGATAAATATGATAGGGTGTGCGCGGTGCGGGTCGGTGCGGTTTGAGAGAAAAATAGAAATCGTATGACGGGTGGCGGATTGATAAAAGTGTCATTAGAATTTGTCATTTTTCTTATCAAAAATCGACAGTTCGATTGGCAAATAATGACGGATTTGCCTTGGCGGTTCGGGCGGATTGGCGGTTTATAAAAAATATAATTCAAATTACAAAACTTAAATCAAAGAGTAAAAAAAGACGAGAGATATCGTGATGTTAAGCATCTTGAAAAGTGAATTGGAATCCAACTTTATTTTGAATTACTGACATCTTAAATTCCCCTCGAGCAGTAATGTAATACTATATTCTAAGGTATAGAACAACAAGCAAACTTAAGTAAAAAAGATTTTTAGAATCTTATAAAATATGATTTAATAGCGGTGCAGGTCGGTACGGTTTGGAAGAAAAATAGAAACCGGCGGATTGATAAAAGTGTCATTAGAATTTGCCATTTTTCTTACTAAAAACCGGCGGTTCAATTGACAAATAATAACGAATTTGCCTTGGCGGTGCGGTTTGGTGCGGTTTCGGCGGTTTCAGCGGTATTATGCACACCCCTAATGACTGATATCTTTTATCAATTTATTGTAAATAGTTGCTAGTTTTACAGGTATGCATGTATACCAGATGCAGATCAACTCCTTATAAAATTTGCTTTAGAATTTTAGAAAATTTACACTGACTAATGGTTTGATAAAATTTTAGATTCCTTCGTGGGGACGTGCGATCTATATATGAAATTTTTATTCAAATTTTATTTAAATTTAATGGAAAAAAATAAAAATAAATAAACATCGGAGATAAGCGATTTTACAGTATCATGAAAATTAATTTCAGCCATTGACCCTCATATTTTAGGCCATATTTGTTTTCCCGCATCAGTGGTGGGATTGGACTGATAGTGAGGTCGAAACTTTGAAAGCATGCTTGGTTGAGGAAATTTGTGATTGGATTATTTGTCCAGCCAGATTGGCAATCTCATTGCACAGTCAAATTAACAAAGGTAGGGAGGGCATAAGATTAAAAAAATAATGAAGGGATTAAGAATCCAGTGCTATTTATTCTTCTTCTTCTTCTTCTTCTTCTTTTTTTATTTACCCAACAACAGTCTATTATTTGTAAAAAAAAAATTATGTTTGTTTTAATTTTTTTAATATAGATTTTTTTAATTTTATATAAAAATAATTCAACAATCTCATCACTAACCATCTCTCTCACTATTATCAAAACAAGCACACTTATTTAATTCTCTCACTAACAATTCTCACATTAACAATTTGCTCACTAATCATCCCCCCACTAACAATCTTGTCCACTCTAATCCGCCAAATAAACGTATCCTTAATTTGTGTCGTCTGATCATAAGCAAAACCCACTTAAGTCTACCTATTACAGTTGATGAAAAACAAAACACAAACCCAATTCCTCTCTCTATTTGTCGTCTCTCTCTCTTCATTGATAGTGGTTATTTTTGCATCCTTTGGTCGCCGAACGGCAGCACAATGCTCTGAAACCCTTTATTCACCAACATAATGGTCTTTCAATCTATTAGTGTCACAACCCCAACCCGCTTTTAAAGGTAAGTGTAATAACCCAACCCTCGCATGTGTTCTCGGTATATTTCTGTCCCTTATTATGTGTATTTATATGCTTATTGTGACGATCTCGAAATTTTTCATTCCGCTCGAGCGGAGGAGTTGACGCTCGAGCGGACTTGTGAGGCCCCTAGTATTTTTTTTTAGGCTGCCTGAGATTCTGAGAGTTGTAAATTCCCGCTCGAGCGTAGAAGTGGCCGCTCGAGCGGACGGCTTTGTTGGTCTGAGAGCTCGAGCGCAAGTTTAGACGCTCGAGCGAATTTCTGAAGCACGTGGGTCGTTTGTGGCATTTTTTTATTAGTGTATTTGGAACCTCCTTATTTATTTTGGGGTATTGATTGAGGTGGTAATATGATGGTAAGGTAAGATTGGACTAAAAACTTTAATTCAGATAATCATCCTGCGATCAGCCATCACTCATTTGTCTTTTTCTTTTTCCACACTTTGAATTTGGATGTGAGGTTACAACTATTGGAAAGCTTATTTTCGGGGTTTCAATTTGGACACAAGAACGACCTAAAACGGAGTCCGGATGGGAAAGTTATACCTGTTCGAAGTTTTGAAATCTGTGCTGGAAGCAGGTACGCTCGAGCGGAAATAGAGACGCTCGAGCGGATGTCGCGAGTTCAGCAGCTTAAAAACGGGATTTTTAGATCATTTCTCACATTTTCTTTTCCCCTCCTCTTTCCTCTCATTCTAGGTCCGAAACCCTAGTCCTCAAAACCTTGATTTCCTCCACTTTTATCAACAATCCACCATGGTTCTTGCATTAAGGATGGAGAACAAGAAAAGATCAACATTTTCAACCGATTGGAACTCGGATTTGCGAAGGATTCTCATCAAAGCTTCGTTCTTTTGCTTAATTCTTGAGGTAGGGGTTCTAGCTCTTCTTCAATACTTCCATAAATAGATAAATCTGTGGTGTTTTGATTATATACATGTAAAACCCACATTTTGAGCATATAGTGTACATTATGAGAATTGGGGGTTTAGAGTTTGAGAGCTTGGAAGTTCAATTGATGGGTTAAAATGATGGATTATGAACCCTAGGTGTATAATCAATGGGAAAGTTGGAATAAGAAGTAATGGGTTAAGAAGTTTAAAATTTTTCTTGAAATTTCTAGGTTTTCTAGAAACCCTAGGTTGATTCATGATGATAATCAATGATTCAGCCCAAATTGAAAGTAGAATCATGAAATCAGTAGGTTGAATTATATGTGTACAAGTTTAATTGGAATTTGGTTATATTTGAAAATTATGTTTAAAATTTGCGAATGAACTTTGTTATGAGCATTGTAAATCATGTTATAATGAGAAAGAAAATTTGAGGAAATGATTTATTAATGATGTAGATGACATAAACTCGATTATGAAATGTTGAAATGGGATTTAAGAATTCCTCTTGAATTATATTTAATGGTGTTGAGTTGAATTATGTTGAATCATGTTGACTTTGGTTTTTGTGATTTAAAATGTAGAGTTTCCAAAATGGGTTTAATCTTAAATCATTTTATTAAATTCCTAGTGGGCTTGTTTAGTCATTCAACTCAAGAGGATGATTTATTGGGGTTTCTTTATGGGGATGGAAAATGTTTTGCTCCGTTTCGCGTGCTTAACCCTCTAGTATTTTTGAAATAGGTGTTTGATGTCCCTAAGATGCCTGTAAATTCATTCGAAGTAAAATGAAGCAGGAACTGAATTAAGAAAGAAAAAGAACTAATGACTAAGTTATGTATGTGTACAGGGCACACTCCAGGAGGGTCAAGCACTCCGTTGTAGCACTGTGAGTAGTAGTACGGTAGTCGTATGTTCAATTATCGTTAATGATTCTTATTGTTAACATTATGTTCCTTGCATGTAATGATGTTAACATTATGTTGATTGGAAAATCTAAGGGCATTATTGCGCAGTACATTTTATTTACTGTTGATAAAGAATACTAACGTTATTTGCAAGATAGCTATAGTGATTCATGACGAACCAAGGGAACGTATAAGCACTATGGAACCATGGTATTCACGTATCTTTGATATCATTCAATCTGTACAACTTGCTTACCTCCTGTTAATAATTATCAGGAATGTCCTGTTAGACTTAAGTTAACTATGTTAACTCATGTGAATGATGTAACGGTTACCATGAGTACTCTGTTAATTACAAGTCAACTATGTTAACACATACGAACGATCAAACAAAGGTGTATGCTTCTATGTGTTACTGATTAATAGATCAAGTGAACCATGCCGTTTCTTAAGGAATAAAGAGAAATTATATTCATTCTTGAAGAATGGATTTTGAGTAAATATGAGACAGTTATAGGTTATCAAGAGTAGACACCTTTGAAAAATCAGAATAATTGGAAAGCTATGAAACCACGACATAAGGGCAAAAGTTTAACATTTTTACATAACCCTCATGAGAATGTGAATTATTCTATCTTTGTTAAGCGTACGATAATAACATGATATGACAAGAAACGCCCTATTTTCTAACATGTTACGTTTTGAATCACTGAATGACTGTTCATTTATATAAAGGTATTCAAGGCATCCTTAGCACAAGGCCCTTACCCAGGGGTAATAATACCGTGGTTCATGAATGTTACAAGTTCAAGGATGTTACAAATTCTTAGTACCGAGGAATTCCTTTATAGAACTAACAAGAATGCTATATTTTGACTTGTTAGCGCTATTGAAGTGACAGGTATAATTAAGTATGAATTCTGATTTCTGTATGTGATTCAAGCATAATGCATATGTATGAATTTGTTTTCGTTTATAACATGACATGATATGTATGGTTGGCCTGTAAAACCAGTTAATTACTGGTATGGAACAAAGTGCTACTTGGAACTAAGTGCTACATTGTGAGCCACCTCTAGAGTCCATGTGAGACACCTCTTGAGTCCATACATATATGAACTAGGCTTAAAGCCAATCTGGGCCTATGGCCATTCTGTATGATCTATTAGGCCAGAGGCCATTCTGTATTTCTAGTATGGAACAAAGTGCTGCAAGGCGAGCTACCTCTTGAGTCCATACATATATGAAAGTTATGAGGCTGAAAGTCATTCTGTTAAAGTTATGAGGCTAAAAGCCATTCTATTGTGAAAGTTATGAGGCCTATGGCCATTTCGTATAAGTTGTTATGATATGAAACAAAGTGCTACACGGAACTAAGTGCTACGATGGGAGCCATCTCTAGAATCCGTGTGAGACACCTCTTGAGTTCGTATAAGTATGGTTTCAAGGGCTTTAAGCCACTTTCAAGGGCTTCAATGCCAACAAGTTACAAGGGCCTTGTGCCACACGTTTCAAGGGCCTTAGTGCCATATGTTACAAGGGCTTTGTGCCAC